CTTTTTCAATTTGTAGTCGTTCTAAAAAAAAAAGAAGCATAATTTAGATCTATTAATTTTTTTTTGGTAGTTATGAGGTCAGTATATTCAACTAAACCCATACAGAGATATTATAGAGAAAATGATGGATAAGCTGTAAAGTTTTTCTAAAAAACGTTTGATAGTTATATGGAGGTTATAGAGATTTCTCAAATGAAATTTGACAATTTTCTGATGCATAAAAGTATTTTTAATCATAAAATCAAAATTACTTTGCATGTTGGATAGTCAACACTTGAAAAGAAAATATGCATGAGCAAATCTTTAAAAATCTGATATTTTGTGTATGAAGCCTTGTAATATGTACTGATAATCTATAAAATTTCATGAAGATATGTGTACTGTATTAAAAGTTATAGTAAGATTGCTCTCATGGCTACTTTGGTGTTTACAAGCTGGGTGGATTTCACGCAGCCAGTAGTCAAAGAGTTAATGGTGAAATGAAAAATCTTGATCTTACCACAGATTTAAAAATGATAGCACCAAACGGAGTTTTAATCATATAGTTGACAAGAAAGATTTGGCTTCCAAGATGGTATGTGAACTTCTCACACAAAATTGCTATATTCCTAAGAAATTTGAATACCATTAGCTGTGAGCTAGCTCTCACATAAATTCACATGTTTAACATCTCCACTCCATCTGTTTCCCAATCATTGCTTATTTCAACTGTCAAAGGGTTACCTGTTCCAGAACTCTTTGGTTCCATGCATCGGACCTGCTGTTTTGTGTTTTTTTTTTACATTGGGTTTGTCTCATGGCTAGTTTTGTGCCTATGGCTGTGAATTTGGTGGCAGTTCACCCCTCTCATTCTAATAGTTCTACCCACTGTGTGGCCTCTCCACTCCCTGGTTTTGTTGTGTTTACTCCCTATTGTGCATGCCTCTCATCATGACCTTTGATACTCTCAACTCCAAACTTTCTCTCTTCTGGTCTCCAATTCTCATCCTCTGACCATATCAGCCAATGCTTTCAGCCAGGATTGGTCTCTCCTTTTTCTGTATACCCATCTTCCTCCTTGTCTTCTACCTCATGTCCTCACATGTCCTTGATTCTCCTTGTCAGGTTCTTTTGGTGGTGTCTCTTTGGTATGTTCAGCCCTGCTCTACTGTGCTCCTTCATTTGGCATCCAGGGGTTCACTCTTCCTCTTCCACACATTCTTGCTTCTACTGTGTGTTTGTGTGTCTCTCTCTCAGTGGTATGATTCCTTCATTTTCATGTCAGGTTTATCCAGTCCATTCTCTACAGGGCTGGACTCTCCGATCATGTGCCCTTTTTTCTGATGGCTCCATGTTATGAGTGGCAAAATGTTGTTTTATTTGATATTTCTCTATCCCATTTTAGCTGGTTTCTGAATTTTTAAAAAATGATTACATTCCTGTTGGCCTTCACTTTTGTTCACCTATCAGTTGCATTTGGGTTTTTGATGCTGGTCCATCTGCTTCTCCCTTCCTCTGGGCAATTTTAATGTGACCCATCTTCTGATTCTTTTCACTTAGATTGTTTGACTATGATTTGCCAGTTCTCTACTCTTGCTGGTTTTTGGGTAGTTTTTCTTCTACATTTTGCATTTTGAGTTACTATCTTGTTTTCTTCTCCTGTCTTTTCCACTTTGTTCCATTCCTTCCTTCCTTCTCTGACCCTCTTGTCCTACTTCCATGCCTGACTGGGACTATGTTGTGGTTTTCACACTCTTCCATGGCCTCCATTTAAATTGTTGACTTCATGTTTAATGTTTCATCTTTCCTCTCCATCTTGCCTATTGTTGTTGTCATTTGGATTTTCTTGCCTTCAGTGCTTCCTACACACTCCTTCGGTGTATTTTGTTCCTTTATCCCTATCAGACTTTTCTTCCTGAAAGTGCTCAACCTATCCACCCTGGCTCTACCAGTGTCCAATGTGAGATAGGGTGTTCCACAAGACCATTAGAGGTATCCTAGTGGTGTATAATTTTACTCACTTGTTTGATCCAGGCCAGTGTAGGTAAATGCTATATTTAATAGATATAGTCTGAAGGACATAATTATATTTTATATTAAAAATGTAAATTGGGAAAAAACCTCAAAGTAATAGTATTAGTTTGTCCCAAAACTAGAGAGAGCTCTATAAATATAACACAACACAATGTTGAAGTGAATAAATGATCTGCTGGATGACTAAAGAAAACAATCATTATTAAAGAGTTACTTATGGTTTCTTTAAAAGAAAAAAATTGTGAAACTTTGTTTGCAGATGGGACATTTGTCCATAGAAACGTTATTGGTAATTACTGGGGAGGCTGGGGAATGAACATACCTGCACCTTGGGGACCTGCATCAGAGGATTCTGCCACTACCAGCACTGCAGTGGGGAAAGAGGCCTTCGACTATGGACACATGCATGGTAATCTACCCTTGAACGCCCAAAGCTATGAGTATAATCATGGGTCAGATCAATATGCCTTCAATCAGGTGTGTATGTTGAGAGCATTCTAGTTACCTTAGAAGAAAACAGAGTTGCCTGTGACTGTTCTGCCTTGCTGAATTAACTCTGTTGTTGTTTCAGAAATTTACCCTTTTGTTTATATGTGATTTGAACATTTTTGATATATTTCAATATTAGGTAAAAGCATTGTTGATTTTAGCTTAAATATAATTGTATCAGAAAATTAGTCAAAATTAAAAAAGAAGCTTAATATTGATACGTTAGAATGTTTTTATTTTCTTTTTTTTTTAAATATTATTATTTTTGATATTTTGATAACCTTGAGTTTGATGAATCAAAATATTGATGGCAAAAACCAAGGTTATTTTCAATATCTTTTATTAAGATTATTTCAAAAGTTTTATTTTTTGGTTGCAAATTATATTTTATTAGTCTTAGGTATTTCTTTGTTCATAGTACACTATCTGGTGATTCCATGGTGTTTAATCATAATTACATTATCAAAACAGTTCAGAATGTCTAGTATGATGGTAAATGTTATATTGATGTTTCAACATGCATTTATACAAAAAGACATTAATAAGAAAATTTCTTTGTCTGAACATATCAAATAAGTTCAAAATGTGTGATATATAAGAGTAACTTGATAGAATGCTTCAAAGTGTTTTATTATCTTAGAGCATATTATCAAAAACAAGCTCAAAATGTGTAATTTTTTAGGGGAAGTTATTAGAAAAGATCTAGATTTCTTTCTTATCGGAAAATAACTTATTAGGATGGTTCATAATCAGGGTATATGCTTAATAGTTGTACTTTATTAAATAATGAAATTGTGTCTTAATTCATGTATTTCATGCATATCTAGGCAATGTTTCCTCAAGCACAGTCTGACCCTCAATTTCCAGAACTGGATTCTCAGTTTCCACTACCAAATCATCAGTTTTCACAACCTGACCCTCAGTTCACACAACCCGACCCTCAATTTCCACAGTTTTGGCAGCCAGTTCTTCAGCCTCCAGACATTCTAGCCCCTCCCTCTTTCATGAAGAAGAACAAAAAAGACTTCACTGATAATGAATTAAATAAAGCTTTGGAGGATACAACACAGTTAGGTTTGTCAGTTTGAGTAAAATATCAAAAATATAAAAACTGAAACTTTTGTTTTTTCAAGGAGAAATTATGTTTTGTAAATCATTTCTAAAATATTCAATAACTATCTTTGCAATATAGAACATTGGGTAATTTATTGTTTGCCTTTTGGAAAATATTTTGTTTTATCCATGTAATTGTTTTTGAGTTTACAAAAATGTTACTTGCCTCTTCACAGAACAAATTGTTATTACCTTGCACCAATGGTGAAAACTTTTTGTGCCAAGCCTTTGAATGACAGTCCCATCCCTACACATGATAACATGTACTGCCCAAGTCTATAATGTAATCAGTATTAGACTACACCCCTGGTGCGAGGTAATAGCTATCTTTTCTGTGGTAACTATCTGAAACATATTTTCAGTTAAGAAAAATGTTAACATTTTACAGATGCTGTAAAACGCAAGCAACTCCCAGCATGGATTCGAGAAGGTTTGGAAAAAATGGAAAGAGAACGTCAGAAAAAAATTGAGAAAGAAAAAGCTAAGATGGAATTGGAACAAAAACTGAAAACAGAGAAGGAAGATAAGGTGGTTGCAGAACATGAAGTTAAAGAAGAAGAAGAGTTAGAAACTCATAGCTCCCCTGCTCAAGTGCTGAAGAGCAAATTTGTGAGTTGAGACCATTGTTTTTGAATTTCTGTCTTGGCTTGATAAAATACAATTCATAACTTGTAAACAGTTGGCTAATTTATGTTGTGGTGCTAATAATACAAGATGGTTGCATCAACAGTTGTATTATATGTATTTTGGTAATATGTCAAAAAAAATGTACTTGTGGTTATATTGATTTCCCTAGAGTGCAGGTTAGCACAATTTAAAAATAACTTCTAAGAATTTCTTTACAAGTGACAACCATGAGTTGGTAGCTAGTTGTGCTAATACGATTGTGTTTAGCTTATTTTTATTTTGTCAATAATCATTCTGTGTTTTTTTTAATTGTTTGTAAAAAGAATACAGTTGGAACTAAGACCAGTCTAATTTTTCTGTTTGTACGTATTAGTGTAGCTTTAATCCTAATATAAGTGTTAAGTATATGTATTAGTTAACCACTACTGCCATAAAGCTCTTAGTCTGACCTTTAGCACTGAAAGCAAATATTTTTGGGTATACTTATATAATATCTTTAAACATATTATACATTATATAGTGGGATAGTGAACTTAAGGACAGATTAACTGTGAAGTGTAGAAGCACACACACATTTAGTTGTTATACCTTTGTCCTAAACAGGACTTTAAAATTTTCCATGCAGTGATTAATGTCAATTCATTTTTATCTCTGCAACATTAATTATTCATTGGAATTTTACTTTAATTGTCACCCTGCAATCTAGTAATAAATTAAGAAGTCTAACTCGTCATGTCATCCTATATTCTTCATTGACATAATATCCTGTCTCTCTTCCAACAAAGTGATTCATTGCTCAACTTTGAGTTTCAAATCCAAAGCTTTGGATATTATACTGTCAGAGATATTGGAATTATATTTCAGCTACATTTTGTAAACATATATATATGTTTAATCCTTTTGTTACGAGTCACAGGTTAAAGGCCATGTCATCTCGTTTGTTGACTCACATTCAAAATTTTATTTAACTACTATTTCATGAATTTATGCCAATAGGTTTGATATCAAACTGTAGATTGTAATTCAAATTTTAGAACTATACATTACTCAATATGTTAATTTTTAAAATAAATATTAAAAAACAGATAAACATCGATTTTTGTGTGTCACGTGGTATGTTGAATGCAGCACTGGTTCACATTAGATGTTTGTGAAGTCAAAATACTAAGTCTTTAGTTTCATACCAATTAGAAACTCAAATTACACATATTGACAAGCTTGAATATAAAATAAGAAGGTCTTATCTTTTCTATTTGCTAAGATATTGCTCACATATTAAAACGAACATGGTGGCACCCTGCCCACCTCCTTCCATTTTTGGAAATGCTCCCTTATAAATACTTTCTT